CCTTAACCTTCTCTTCCCCAGACTAAACATATCCAGCTTCCTAAGCCCTTCCTAATAGGGCATGGTTTCCAGACCTTTCACCATTTCAGTTGCCCTCCTCTAGACATGTTCATCCTTCTTGAATTGTGGTGACCAGAACTGTACACAATATTCCAGCTGAGGTTTGACCAAAGCATAATAAAGAAGTACTATAAAGTCAGCCCTCCACATTTGCAGCTTTGACTTTTGTGGACTTGATTATTCATGGATTTGATTAATATTTTCTCTCTAGGAATCTCTATGTCATCCAGCATTACTCTATGGTCAATGTCTACCAGAAGCTGTTTGACAGTGGAACATGCTTCCTGAGAGAGTGATGGAGTCTCCTCCTTTGAAGTTTTTAAACAGAAACTGGATGGCCATCTGTCAGGAGTACTTTGATGGTGTGTTCCTGCATTGCAGGGGTTGGACTGGATAGCGCTTGTGGTCTCTTCCGACTCTATAATTCTATGATTCTATGAAATCCAATTCTTTGGGCCAAAGTAGAGAAAATGCATTGAATCAATGACAACTAGTGAACCAAGGCCCATATTCTAAATTGCCTACATATATATGCATAACTAAGTAGCATCTCCTGATCCAGCCCATCCCAACCTACTGAAGGGAGGTCCATTCAGCTGGTGATTGGGGTGCAGAAGGATGGCATTTGCTTCCCACACTGCCAGTGCCCAAGGCTGAAACAAGGCATTGTATCAGGGGTCCAGCTTCTGATTATTGCAGCCTCACGCACTGGAGGTGATGGTGGTGGTGGAAATTTCATCTTTCCGCATCCTGTCATCAGCTGAAAAAACCTCTGTCTCTCAGTGCAGCTTCTGCTTGATAAAGTAGATTTGGGAGGACATTTATGATTATGGCAATAGTGCCTCAATTGTGACTATATATCATTGGTGTATATGGAGTAGTTACAGATGGGCAACTCTAGGGTTGTATCTACACTGCAGAATTAATGCAATTTGATACTGCTTTAACTGACACAACTCAATGCTATGGAATTCTGGGATTTGTAGTTTTGTGGGCTGTTTAGCCTTCTCTGTCATAGAGCTCTGCTGCCAAAGCAAACTGCAAATTCCATAGGATGGAGCCATGACCATTAAAGTAGTGTCAAATTGCATTAATTCTGTAGTGTGGCAACATCTGTAACTGCAATATGGAATACCAGCTCAAAGCTTCATGTAAACTCCATTGATTCAGTGAGTCTACTCTATTTGGGATTAATGATTGCCTATAGAGCCAGTATGGTGTAATGGTTTGAGTGCTGGACTAAGAGTCTGGAGATTAGGGTTCGATTCCCTGCTCAGTCATGGAAACCCACTAGGTGACCTTTGGCAAGCCACACACTCTCAGCCCCCCAAAACTCAGTGGTAGGGTTGCTTTAGGATCACCATAAGTCAGAAATG